TGATGTTGCAATGGCAAATGAGAGTGACCAGGACTATCACTGGCAGATGACAGTGATCAGGATAGTCTGAAAAGTAAGGTCATTCAATAAAAGGGCGTTGATCAGAAATATTATCTTTCATATGTCAAAGTGGAAAAGTTGATACGACGGTGAATTTTGCAAAAGGGCATCCATCGCAATAGTGTTTGATTGCGTGTTTCAAATCAGTATTGTATATTTGTTCACAGTACTAACATTGGTTTTATAATAGTCCTGGCACATCCCTTTTAAGAGTGACCAATGCCATGACTATTACTGATGATACTGTAACGTTGGCGCTTTCACTCAAATTAATCCACAATACTCAAACTATTACAAAGAAGCAATTCTGTAAAATTGTAATGATTATTATTACATAAGCCACCATTGTCATTCTTTCGTGCACAGCAATACTAAATTTTATGCAGTATTTATGAAAGTTTTAAATTATTTGTCAGATGTAATGATTTGTGGAGATGACATATTGCAGGATCACTGCTCCGAATCGATATCGACCATGATAAATAAATTACTATATTTTCGAAACCAGTAAGTATAGTCTACAGACCTAATTAGAAACGCTAGTCTCAAACATAACGCGGGCCTACTTATATATCTGAAACTGTAGAGAGGAAAAGAATGTCTAGCATGCATAAATATGGAGTATATTAACGCGAATGGGTCGTGGTCATGTTTTCACATTGATTTTAATAATATCACTCTTCTATCTCCCCTTCTTATCAGTTTACATAAATATTTACAGCTAAGTTTATAATTCTAGTGGTGGAAATATTTTAACAAATTTAAAGATAATATTATCATAATGTATTTATAATTCTTAAAGTATCTGCCAAATGACTAAAGACCTCGATATGTAAAAGGAAATTTTTTTGATCTACTCACAAAATTTATCAATAATTTCAATAAAGATCAATAAGTACTTCACAAAAGCTCTAACGCTTTTTGAGACATAAACGATTATTTTTTGAGTTTACTGACGAACTACACTAGATAATTATTGATTTAAATTCCAACAGAATTATCAACATTTAAATTGCAGAAAGTTTCAAACTGTGATATCTTCTATTAAAGTTCTAGAGTTGCATCTATACTTCCACAAAGATAAATATTACTTCCCAAATATTTTATAGAAAGTTTAAAAAGTTGATTTACGGAAAGGACCTACTATTAAAGCTCTAAAGTTATACCTATTGAAACTCTAAAAGCGACATGAACTTCAGAAAGACGTATACTAGACAGTTACTTTTTTCTGTATTTATGTTGCCATATTTGATTAAATTATTTTCATGGTCGCAACTGAATTTGAGAGCTACCGAACAATGATGAAACTACTTCCATAATCCGAATGAAATACGAAGATAAAGAGTTCGTGTGCAATAGGCTAACACAGCTGCACCAGTCAGAACCTACACGTATAACTTTTTTTTTCAGTTCCTTACTCAGACCCGATCTATATTTACTTTCCTAGCCTGAGATTGAGTTAAAAATAAAAGTTCATGTATTGAATGAAACATGAAGAAACGGCAAGCCACGCTCTAAACATAACTTGTACATTGTTATTGAAATTCATATTCATTACTGACTGTTGTACACACTACCTGAGTTGTTTCACTGCCCAAGTTCACGTAAGCTCCAAAAACGTGACAGTTCCTAAAACCCTAAAGTGCCCGTGAGAATCGCTCCCTTCGGTGGTATTTGTTCAGAATGATCCCATGTACACAGTGATGAAATTACTTGTGTTATGGTAAGTGTCCTTCTATTCAAACAGAAGTATTCATCTTAATATAATATAATAACTGCAGCTGATATTTGGGTTTCATGGTTTATTTAAAATTTAGGAATAGAGCCAAAAGTCTTGTGTTAACTGACTTTCAAACGGTACTTTTACTTACTTGGTTGATAATAGATATACGTAGAAATGAGTGTGGTCAGTAGAAGCGTGGGTGAAATCTGATATTTAACGAGCTACTGTGACAGTTGCTAAGTCGAACTCATGATACATTATCATTATTTAAGTTTCTCATTCGTTTACGTGAGAGCAAGCGCGAAGGAACATTTCAAGATGTCAACATGACGTCTATAAACAGATTACAAGCTCGGGATAAAATGTGTGTTCTGAATTCGAAGTTATTGAAATAAATCTCTTTGTACAACTCCATTGAAATTTCCAGAATTCTGTTAGCATTTCCAGCATTTCTGTAAAACATCTGTACTTATATTAGTATCAGTGGCTTCCATCTGTTAAGTTTCTCAGAAACTGATGATCTTTCTGGACATACAAACACCTTCTACATATTTGGGTAAACATACACAGTCATCTTAAGTTCATCTCAGGATCTAGATTGTAAAAATTACTGTCTGAACCTGCGAAGTCGCCTACTAAATTCCCTTTTGGCATAAAATTAAAATGTTTGGTATTTTTTAGCATTGAATAATCTTCGCCCTCAAGCTGTTGGTTTATATTACCTAGTAAAGATTTTTAAATTTCCAAAAATAATAAAACTCACCTGAACTTATTAGTTTTTCCAATTAGATATAGCAGCATAAAATTTGGCAGTCATGTTAATTCTTTAGAAAGTTGAAGGAGTGTCAGTCATGACCTGAGGTGTTAATCTGTCTGGACCACACTAATTTTGCCCAGAAGAATGATGATGCTAGATCTGCCTTGACTTATTAGCTAGCTGGAGGTTACTAGTGTAAATTGGACATGTGGTTTTCTGCAGTTCTGATTTGATGTAGTAACACGAGTGTAAGTATGAGCTATTATTTTTATTTAGCTTGGAGCATTTTAAGGAGAATTTTGTGAGAAAAACGGCCTCAGAATTTCATAAAAAATCTGGCGCCAGTTAGTCCCTTTTTATAAAATGACTGTCTACAATTCTTTAATCACTGATAACAACAGAAGCACGAAAAAAAAACCCCCAAAAAAACAACAAAAAACCCGTCTTACGTATATTTTAGAGTTGCGAGAAACTACCCTTCGTCAGGCTTCGCAGCATAGGTAGAGAACTTACAATGAAGACAATACAGTAGTGCTATGAAATATTTATGTCCATACTGTACTCTATCATGAACTACAGTAAAAGCATAATGCAACTCTGCTGTGCTGTTCGTGAATAATAAAACACTTTGATCTGTGGAATGTGCATTCGGTTAGTCGCTTTTTTATGAATGCGTATAATCTTGTATATATTTTAAGACAGCTTACTATAGTTCTGTGAATTAGTACTGCGAAACAAATGGGTTGTTCAATTTCAGCATCGCATATGCAGAAACTCTTTGGATATAATTTATTGAAACACAGTAAACGACTTCGCTCATTATTTTAGCACTAATTATTTAGTGCTCCTAGTTACATTATCTACAATTAAGTTCTAGAGTTGCATCTACTCCAAAAAGATAATTATTACTTTCACAAATATTTTATAGAAAGTTTAAAAAGCTGATTTACGAAAGGGATCTTCTATTAAAGCTCTAATACCCAAATAACTAACAACAAAGCTTATTTTAGGTCAAACCTTACTTACACCTTCTAACTGTTATTTTGAATTTTATGGAGTCTGCTATGACATGGTTAATTGTTATAAACAGAAATTTTAAGATTACGCATGCGGTGTTGTGTTTAAAACGATGGTTTCTTACTGTGATATTACTGATTTATGTAATGGGATCCTTTTCAACGCAAGGAGCAGTAATGTTTAGTGAACTTGGTAACTTTCACATAATATGCACAACAGTGACATAGCTACCAAAACATAAATAATATACATGTATGTTATGTTTTAACACTTCACAGTATTTCACTACGCCGTTATTAAACGAATAAGGCAGAAATAAAAATTGTTTGTTTTAAACACTATACGTGCCAAAATGAACCCGGCAATGTTTTAACAGTTGCTGTTTTTTTTTTCTATAATATAATTATCTGAACAATAACGGTTAAACTTGAATTCATAAAGTTTAGAGTAAAATACGAAAAAAAACATTAAATTACAATTATTACAGTTTTTTTTTCTATCATGACTCACATCACACTTCTAAGTAAAAGTTTTAAATCACCAATTTCTCATTTAAATGAGAAAACAAAACTTCAAACCTAGTAAGCATTTTAAATGAAATCGTTAATTTTTATCTGTAACTTGAATCAAACATATTATATACTTTACTTATTCCTGATTGTAAACTTGTTTTATGATAACTGAAAATAAGTTTACAATGATTTATTTATATATATATATATATA